AATTGCGCTCAACTGAACGAATATATTTCATATACAGTAAGAACACTGTACAAATATAAAATCCACCAATCACAGTCTTATTTTGTTCACCCGGTTACTATTATTTTGTTTTTAATCTTAAACAAGTAATAATCCTCTCAAACTAATTATCAGTATATTTTTTAGTTATTGAGCTTACATATATATTAAAATGAGTTATTCTTATGTAGAATCGACAAATAATAGCGTTTATATTTTTATGTCGTCAATATTTACTAATAAATAAAAAAAAGTAATAAATCTATATGAAGTCAATTTAATTACGAATATTAAAACTAAAATGTTAGGTATGTCGATGGAGCTGAGACTAGTGCATTTGTAATGCGAGAGGTCCCGGGTTTAAATCTAGCATTGGTTACTAGGTTAAATTAAATATTTTTTTTTTTTAATTTGGTGTCATCGGCGTCGACTACCACGGCCATTAGCCTCGTGTTCTGTTTATTTCATAAATTGATAAAAGTCATGGGTTATTTAATCTTAATAACCTAAAATATTTTTTTTAATTTGTGGATTGTTAGTTTGTCGTAGAAAAAAGATGCTGTACAACTCGAGTGGATTGTCGTTTTAGTGCGATATGGCCTTCATATCCACTACTATTTTAATGGACTATTCAAAGAACTCCGCACTTTTTATATTGATTTTGGGTACTGTCAGAAGTTACTTAAACTATGTTATTTAGCAGAAGATCTTATAAACCTCAAATTTACAGCTCTACGGGGTAACCTGTTAGAATGAGTCAAAAGTAAGGAGAGAAAAATTAATATTTATATATAAGTAGATAAAATTTATATTTTTTTTCAGCTTCTAGAACAATAAAAGCAATTATCAAAAATATGTCCTTACTTATTTGCGACTTACCTTGTAGGGGACAATATTTTTGAACCATGTGTATACTCGTAAAATGTGGAATTTAATAAAATTATGTACAAAAAATTGCAATTGATCAGCCTTTTCCTGTAATAACCGGTAATAAAAAATGTCTTAAGTTTATATAACATCTTCATATCTCAAAAACCTATCGTATGAAAAAGCTGTAATTTTTGAGAATGTATTTTCTACTACTAAAACTACAAGGTGATTTATCATTTTTTTTACACATTCGATAAATTAACTATTTATTTATTAAATCACCATGTAGTCAATGAATTGGATAATTATACATATAATAAATACACAAAAGTCCCGTAAAATACTGCCTTAGATTATACAAACCTTAGATGGAACATAAGACACTGCGCATAATCCCATTTCGAAATGATTCACACCCACCAATCACAGTTGAGAACATCACATGTCAGAGCGTTGTCCATCCAAATTTAATGTGTCAACGAGAATTAATTTGGTATTTTAGTGACTTAAATTTTGGATATTAACGTTGAAAATGCCAAGATGTGTTGTAAAAAGCTTTATTTATAATAAACCTGCTAAATGTGACGGAGATAAAAGAAACTTACATTTATTTCGGTGAGATATTTAATTTTTAAGGATTCTGTCGACGTCCATATTTGTTGATTTGAAAATAAACAGAATCGGACTTGGTCGTTGGTACATGTTATAAGTAGCAAATAAAGGTTATTATTTTAAACTGTTTACTATTTTTTGTTTCATGGGGAATCTTTTTTTAGGAAGTGAAAAGAGAAACATACAATCAAATACAGAAATATCAATTTCATTGCCAATGTATTCCTTTCAAACTTCACAACTGGTTTCAATAGTATTCTCAAAACTATTTATTTAGTAATTCTCTATACCAGTGTTACTCAAAGTGTGCTCCGCGGAGTCCTGGGGCTCCGCAAAGCCTTTGTGAGGGCTCCGCGAAGAAAATAATCACAATAAAAAAAAAACAGTACTATCGCCACAAAATGGAGGGACCTGGCTTAAGGACCGTTTTTTGCTTTAGGACTTTTTTTAATTTTATTTTTCATGGGTGAAATGGATTTGGGATAATTCTTGCAAGGAATCTTTGGATTAAATCAAAAATAAATTAACAACAAATGATGCTCTTGTGCATTTTCAGCCTGAGTTGCCGATTAAATTATTCGTAGATGCATCAAATATGGGAATAAGGGCCATGATATGTCATGTTTTTGAAAAAAATATTGAGAAATCTGTAGCTTCTGCTTCGCGTACCTTATCAAAGTCCGAACAAAAATATTCCCAAATTGAAAGAGAGGTCCTTGCAATAAATTTTAGCCTAAATAAAATTAATGAATATTTATATCCTAGTTACCGATCACTTACCTCTGGTAACTATTTTTAACCCAGCTAAATGTATACCCCAATTTTCAGCCAACAGACTACGTAGATGGGCAGTAATATTGTCAAATTACAATTATAAAATTGAATATGTGAAATCGGAGCATAATATAAAGCCGATTTTTTATCATGTTTACCTATTGAAAGTCAAAATGAGAGTCAAAATAAAGAAAAATTTGAATCCGTCAAATATTTCGCTTATATGGAATCTATCCATTTAATTTATATTCTGTTATTTTCTCTAATTTTGACATATAAAGTAATATATTTTGTAATCGCAGCAAGTGTCAAAACGATCTACTTTATGCAACCAGTTGCATAAAGTAGAACATTATGCAACTGATTACGAAAAGTTGAATATGTCACCAGTTACGAAATGAAAATAAATAAAACTGCCTCTTTTTTGGTTTTTAAGTTGAAAAATCGAAAAATCGTGAAATCGTGAAATCGAGAAATCGAAAATCGAGTAATCGAAAAATTGAAAAATAAAAAATCCAAAAAACCAAATATCAAAAAAAAGGCAATGAATAGTGACATTTCACATTTAAAAATATGACATTACGTTTAACAACAAAAAAGAAAAGCTGTAAATTGCGTTTTATTTTTAAAATAACACCGTTATTGAAAACTGTCCAGAAATGTTGGGGGTAAAATTTTGACGTACTCCTTTAAGGATAATGAGTAAAAATGTTTTTTTTTTCAAATTTCTCGCGGGTAATGTCAAAAATTAGATCGGAAACACTGCACATGTCCCTTATTTTTATTATTACTATTGAAAAAAAAAACGTCGTAGAGCAATCAAATACAACAAACAATTCTAAAATATTTGATTGGAAGTACCTACAGAAGAATGATGGTGAATCATTTTTAACACAATTTTATAAATAATCAAGTCAAAATTAGAAAAAATCTTGTATATAAACACGTTACGAAATGCCGTTTTGTGTAAGTCGTTCATGTTGCGGGACCTCGCTCCGCTCGTTCCGGAAATATTTACTCGTTACACAAAATAAGGCATTTCGTAACTGGTTACATAAATAACTATTAATTGACTTTCTAATATTTTAATGCATTGCACGGTATTTTCCGTAAATAATTAAATCATAAATAATTATCGGCATATAAGTACCAAAACATTTTTTCTCTTCGAAGAGTAGGTCTATGTCAAATCAACTTAAAATATTATAACGAACGAAAAGGTAACCCATTTCTAATACTGTTTAATTATTTATTTTATTTTGGTGCGATCGTAGAAAAAATCTTGTGTGTAATTCGAGCAAAAAGTACTTTGGCTGTTTCAATAACTTTTTGTCTCAACAGCTATTTTGTTGCAATAATTTTATAAACTTTTACGTAGATTTCACCCTTTTGTTAAACGAAGATTAAAATGACATTTTTATATTAACAAAAACGAAGTTTAAATTACTAAATGGAGTTTCAAATGACATTTTTACTTTCACAATTTTAATCTTCGTTTAATAATTTAAACTTCGTTTGACACAACGGTGGAATCGGCCCTTAGCTAGTTATATATTGATAAAGTGTTATTGCCCTCATCATACATGAATCGTGCTAACAAATAAAGTCAAAAAAACGTCTCATAATTTTTCATCTTTTAGTTACCCACCAAAATTAGGTATTACAATACAAATATTTAAGTCCGGCCCAGAACATCTCCCTACTCCTTCCACCCAGTTTTTCGGTTTTGGCAAAATTCGCGCAGCGACAAATGCTTCCTATGTTACCTCTACCCTTTCTAACCCCTTTGAATACTGCGTAGGTTTACCAGAAGAGAGTTAAAATATGATAAACATTTTCAGATCGAATATCTTTTGCCTAACGATAAATACTCATAATTTTATTTCAAACACCTCAAGCACGTTTCTTAAGGTAACTTCCCGACGTCGAATTTTATCACTGTCCTTAAGATATTAATACTGAAAATAAATTACATTTTTTAATGACTTTTAAAACAACTTAATTGTCAGTTCTGTCAACTACATCATTGGTATTGCTTTGGGGTTACTACCAATTATTCATTTTACTAGCCAATTGCAAATTTTGTTACATGGGAAACGAGCATTGTTGAAGGCATAATATATATAATTACCACCAGTTCTTATTTAGTTAAATAATCCCAATGTTAAATTTAGCTACTATTAATACTTTGTTTAAAATAGGTGTATTATTAATTATCATTAAAGATGCAATCAATTAGGTAATTTCAACTAAGTATCAGTTAAGTAATTTGTTTTACTGGACAATAAGAGATATAAAATAAAATTATATTGTTTAAAACAAAAGAAAAGTTTAAATGATACAATGTAAATGGTATTCAACAATGTCTGTTCATAATTTGTTGATATTATCGCTATTGTTATTTGAATTCATTTTACAAAAATAAACGGTAGTTATGAACGAAAATATAAAATTAAGGTTTCTTATTGTTCACCTCTTGAAACCAAAACCAGTTGGTTTGTCATAAAATTTGAAAATACTATTCCAACATTACTTACATTATTTTAAGATATCAATAAAACAAAGTGTATGGTTATTTATGAAGGTCACATATTTGGGAGCTATTAAATGTTAGTTTTTTTAAAGATAGTCAAATTAATTGTACAAAATGTGCAATCAATAAATTTAAATGTTAACGGTAATATTTTTTTATCTACTTATAGGTAATTAACCCATTTTAAACTTACTTTTTTAAACATAATTCACTGCACTTTAAATATTTAACACAAACTAGACTTTGCCCATCTACTTCATTCTTTAAAGAACAAATCAAACGAAATACTGAAAGTGAGAGTAAACACAGTTTTGTTATGTGATTTTATGGTATTCATTGCATAATTTTACTTCTGCGAATGAACTGCCTTTATGGATATATCTGTGGGTTGATTTCTGAATTTAGACTGCTTACAAACTATACGATAACTATCTAAAAACATGGTTTGTTTGGCATAATGAGTGACAATATTAATACAACGTATGTCTGTAAACTACAAAAATCCACAAGCACACTACTGGGATATTTTTTTCTTAGACGGTTACATGTGCAGCACGACTCTTTTATCTAAAATTGTCGAGAAGGTGTTCATAATCAGGGCCGCCGAGAGCCAAGCCCCAGGACAATTCTCTAGATCGGGCCCCGTGACAATTTTATAAAAAAATATCATCCCTCTTTACTTAAATTTCTCTTAAAAAAAAGCTCTAAAACTTTTCCTCCTCTACTTAAATTGAATTTTCTAAAAAAAAAAGTCACCAACCAAAAACTTCCTCCTCTTCTCTTGTGCCGAACTTCTGAAAGAAAACAAAAATCTCCGCCACGGTTGCCAGGCCCCCCTTATACCGTTGCCGGGCCCCCATTTGAGTCCGGGCCCCGGGAATTAGTCCCGGCTGCCCCCCCTCCAGTCGGCCCTGTTCATAATTCAGAGGGAGTGAAAGAGGTGGTAATATTTTCATACTTTAAATTGTCAAATTAAGAATAGAAATCGATCTGTTTAAGATTTGTTTCCAAAAGTACATAATTACGCTAAAAATTAATTTATTCCATACATATGGATCGTACTGTATAAAACAATGTTATCATACACTATAGGACCCGCCAAGTAACATTATTTGCACAATTTCTAGTTACTGGAGGCTATTTTTGTACACCTGATTCGAGGACATTTTTTTTTTATTTGAAGGGCCATGGTATGCTTGGACTCAAACGTATGCTGCCAATCGGCAAAATATGAAAGTTTAACATATTTGAGGATATTTTTGGTAGTTTTTGTTTTGTTTTTAGAAGTCCGCCACGACCACACCTGGCCTTGCTCCAGTCTTTGGAGAAGGCCCTGACTTTTAAATTGTTTTTGATGTAAAAGCTCAGTGTTAAAACGAGATTCATTTGAAATATAATAAACCTTTCAAGATTACGATAGTATTTTTATTCTCTGATATGACATACAACATACGTATCTATAAAAAATGTCAACTAAAACAAATAAAATTATATTTATTAAATAAAAAAATTATAAAAACTTCGTCCTGAACCTGCAATTTTAATTTAATTTTCATATAGTCATTATGTGTTAGATAAAAGTTTTCTTCCCATATTGAAAACAGAACTTAGCCACTCACTAGCGGAGACAACAGAGACGTGTAACTTAATAGGAAAAATTATTCGGTGGTCCATTTAAATTACATATATGACTTTCTTTCTCTTTTACATTGATCTTTATATATATTTATCTCCCTCCAATAAAACTAACACCAATCTAAGAGGTCGCTGATGTTGCTAGTTTTTTGACCTCGACGTATCGATTAAAACTGACAACTGACAATGTTATGAATGTTGTTATGAACGTGTGCATTTTATTAAAATTAATTTAATTTCGCCCCTTTTATTTCTTTGAGTCTGATTTTGTTGTTTAATTAATTTTCTTTTGGGGGAATGTTTATTTTTGCACCACATTTTTTTTGCATTTATGCCACAAGATAGTAGTAACGTCAGCAAATAGAGAGATATTTAATCCACCTAAATCATTTATATAAATTAAAAACAGGGTGGGTCTAAGAACATAACCTTGAGGTACACCCCACTTTATGTCACTTGTTTTCGAGTCTGAAATAGTTCGGACTAACTGTTTGCGACCTTGAAGATAGGATTTCATTTATCTCAAGGCCACATCTCTTATACCATAAACTTCAAGCTTTCGCAGCAGTACTCCGTGGTTGACACAGTCAAAAGGTTTAGATCACAAAATACTTGTATAGGCTCATAGGCTCACTGGTATTCAGTGGTGCTGCGGTGCTAGAGTACTAATGAAATAAGTAGAAACACAATATAAAACATTTATTAACTATCAGGAATTTAGAAGATTTTTGATGATTTATTAATATACACATAATGGAGTATTGTATCTATACAGGGCGGCCATTTGAAAACAAAACAGAGCCAATTTTGGGCACCTCAGGTCATTTACGAAAAAACGCTGGGACCCGTCAATTTTTGATTTAGAGTGGAAATATTTTTTTGCCAGTTTCACCTCCTGAACGAAAACCCCTTAGCGGGGGTGACACTTCCCCCCAAAAACTTATTTTAAAGGTATTTTTACCTAGATTATAACCCCTTAGTTTTAAATCGCTAGTGTCATCAATTATCCGCTGTCGCAGATTTTCCAGTGATGTTTGCTGGGTGGCATAAATTTTAAGTTTTATGTGGTACCATAAAAAATCTAACGGGGTTAGATGCGGAGACGGGGGCCACTCAATACTTCTTCTTTTTCCGATCCATTGACCTGGAAACGTTTGATCCAAATACTGATGAACAGTCAGTGTAAAATGGGGAGGCGCACCGTCTTGTTGGAATATTAAATTTTTTGCTATATACTGATCGTCATTCTCAATCAACTCTAGTAATGCTGGATAAATGTCGTTTTCTAATAATTTTAGATACATTTTTGCGGTTAGAATTCCAGGTAAAAAAAGGGGCCAATTATACGGTTCCCAAAAATTCTAGTTCAAACATTCAGTTTTTCCGGATGTTGCGTATGCAGTTCATGAAATATTCTGGGATTTGAATAGGAAAAAAGGGTATTCGTCAAAAAAACACACGTTGAAAAGAATTTGCTGATCATTTATTGCTCATTCAGTCATAATTTCCCAAAATTGTAATCGCCTATCTAAATCGTTCTAGTTACGTTCTTGTACCACATGTATTTTTAGGGATGATACTTGTATTTTTTTAATATCTTCGGAATTCTACTTCCCTTAATACCATATGTTATCGCCAACTGTCTTGTGCTCAATGTGGGTTCTTGAACAACATGCCCTAAAATCGCCACCTCTGTACCATTTACTACAGCATTTTTCCATTTCACGTTATTTGTTAGTTACTGACCTTGTTTCCCAAAATTTATGGACTATACTTGCAATAGACTTGTCGATTTTAATTGTTAAACAGTTGGGTAATTCTATTAGTACATCCATTGTTCGCAAAAAAGTTAAATTATTTGCACCCTCTCAGCAGTTGAGTAAACCATTATCACTGACATGCCACTTTTATGCCAACTCTATAACGAAATAAACTACACCTTACTACTTGACGGCGACCAAAGAATGTCACCTGATAACAATGAAACTAGAATTGTTACAAAAAAATTATTTTTTTAATAACAATGTAAAGATTATGTTAAACCAGTTTTGTACTTTTGGTAGCCACTGTATGGGCTACGTAGATAGTAGCGTTCTAAAACTCGGGGGTTATATTCTAGGTAAAAATACCTTTAAAATAAAATATCATTTGACCCCTCTTTGCATTTAAAATTTTAGAGTTGAGTGTCATCCTTGCTAGAGAGTTTCCGTTCAGGGGGTAAAACTGACAAAAATTATTACTCGCGAGCACTACTAGAGAGCTGCTTCTGACTCTAAATGAACATTCCTTTTCAACGGTGCTTGATCTGGAGCAACTTTAAAATGTTCTCCCTTCTCCCCTCAAGCATTTGCTCGATAGCATATGTCTTGTTATTAGTCGTTCTTTTTTGACGTCATAGGGTTTTATACAACAAAAGTAATAAACCTTTAAGTCCAAGTTCAACGCGTTGTCAATAACAACTGACGGCGACATTTTTATCACAAAAAATACAGCTCCGAACAATATTAATTTCAGAAATTGTTTTTAAAAATGGATTCAGAGTAATGGTGGAAAATCTATAGTTTGTTTTACTTTTAGTGCATAATATTTTAATAAGTGATATATAACAAATATTTAAAAGTTATGAACTTTCCATCATTTTTTATAGTATTTAATAGCTAAAACGCAAAATACCCTCTTTTTATTTGTGTCCTAATTATTTAAGGAAACTTTTGTTAATGAGGTGGAGCCAATTTGCAACCGTGTTTATTCGAAACATACATTTTATTAAACTCATCGTGTTACGTATTTGTTAAAATTAAGAGACAGAAATTTAAAATGTATTACTTCGAAAGAAAAATCGTCTTCTAACCTAAGAAAAAATTGAGTTGGGTCTTAAGAAGAAAGCTTTAATATTTTGCATTAGGATTATCGCAACGTGCAACGTCTCAGCACACAACTCTGACATTCAATGAAAAACTGATGCCGCATTGAGGCATCCTGTCGCTCTACGAACTTGGGCCACGACATCTTCTTCATTTGACTTATTGGCACTTTTTGTCCACGTTATGCTAAGGATGCTCCGCACCCAGTTTAAAACTGCTCTGGGTGCTTGCGCACCCACAGCCCCGGGGATTCGGCGCCTATATATAGGCTAATTCAAAACAATAACTAACAGCATCCGATACGTTTTTGTTATGTTGAAAACCGAATTGTTTTGTGCCCAGTATATTATTTTGCTCTAGATATCTATAACTAGTCGAGTTTTTACAAGTTTTTCAATATTTTTTGCCAATGTCGGAATTAGAGATATGAGCCTAAAATAAGACGACTCCCTTATATAATGGAATCACAATACTCGTTTTAAGAAAAGGAAGAAAAGTAACTTCACTTAAACTTTTATTTATTAATGGATAAAACGTCTAATGTACAGAAATTTTTTTTCTCTTAAGAAAAATGAGTATTTAATTAGTGAGGATTTTTCAAATTCTAATAGGTCAATTGTTCTATTTAGATTAGTTGTTACATTTTCAGCGATATTGCAATAAAATGTATTGAAATCGTTAGGATTTATATTTGCATTGTATCATTTATGGGTACTTTTGACTCTCAATTCATTAATAATAGACCAAGTTTCCGCTGCCTTATTATTTGAGCTCTCAATTCTTGTATAATAATACATATCTTTAGCTTTTCTAATAAGTGTTCTTCATGAAGTTCTGTAGCGATAAAAGTCCTTTAAAAATATTTTTTTTACATAATTGAGAGATCTTTTATTTAAGAACATCTTAGACCAGTATTGTCTGTTAACCAAAATCCACTTGAGAATAGTGTTGATGTGCTTAAAATATTTACATATTTAAGATCCTAAAATAGAAAGGCTACAATATTTGTAT